CATTTCAGTACGCAATGCCAAAGTTCATGCAAATCGAAGGATATATAGGGACTTTGGTGCACTATTTACCTAAAATCGGACGAAAATATATATCGGAGCTATATCGAAATCGAAGCACACATCGTTCTAGACTTAATTCAGCACGCTATGCCAAATTTCATGCAAAACGAAAGATATATATGGACTTTGGTGCACTATTTACATCAAATTGGACGAAACTATATATGGGAGCTATATCTAAATATGAACTGATTTTCACGAAACTTACCAATCATAATTCTATGCTCAATTCAGTACGCTATGCCAAATTTCGTGCAAATCGAAGGATATATAGGGACTGAGGTACACTATTTACCTCAAATCGGACGAAACTATATATGGGAGCTATATCGAAATCTGAACCGATTTTCACGAAACTTAACACATATCACTATAGACTTAAATCAGTACGCTATATCGCTATGGGATCTATATCTAAATCTGAACCGATTTTTCCCAATTTCAACAGGGTTCGTCTTTGGGCCGAATAAGTGACATGTGCCAAATTTCATCCAATTCGGATTATAAATGCGACCTGTACGTTGTTTACAATTTAACATGGACAGACATGCAAATCGACTTAGAAAGTGATTCTATGCATATTCTCAAAAGGAAACATGTGTCTATCTCGTTTCCTTTTGTCTGTTACAAATATATGCACAAAGACATAATACCCTGTACCACAGTGTGGTGAAGGGAATAAAAAAAAACGAAAAATTGTAAAATCGATACGAATATCTGTCACGATTTCAAAGTTCTTACCGTTAATGTATCCTGCAAATACCGGCTATAAATTGGCATTTATTGTCCACTGTGCCATGACACGTGTTCGTTGAACTGCAAATTCATTTTTTTACTCTATAGTGATATTTTAATATTTTTTGTTTGTCGGGTATTTTCTTAAGTAATACAGTATATACAGTTATCCATTCCGTGGCTTCAGAAGTAAACGTAAATAAAATCCATATTAAATATTTGTTTATGATATATTTTTGTATATCCTCAGCCTTATGGTTAATGAGGGTATGTACACTTTGATACGGCCAAATGTGCCTCATCGAAATATTGGTTTTAGACCGCATGTTTGTTTGGACCAAATTCTTTTCAGACAATTTGGATTTCATTTAGAAATGTCCGTACGACAGTCTGGCCGGTTGGTGCGGACGATAACTCTCGAAAGGAGTAACCGATTTCATCCAAACTTTGCACATTGTAATATTTCTTCAAAACTGAAATCAAGTTCGAAGATGGGGAATATAGGTCCACTCGTTCTGTTACCTCCCACAAATTGTGCAGAAGGTTAATTTAACTATATCATGCGATCGCACTATCCCATTTGAACCTAACTTTACAATACCTATTATCTTCACCAAGCCTAGATCAAGTCCGAAGATGGAAACCATTGGTCTGCTACCTCCACCACAAGGGGTCAAAATTTTCAATATTTATAATTGCAATATTAGGTCAATTGAATTTTCGATTTAATTCATATCACACATCGTAATATTTCCATACAATTCAAATTAAGTCCGAAGATTGGGTAAATCGGTCCCCCACTTCTGTTCCCTCCCCCACAAAGGTTGTAAATCTTAAATGGAGCCCTCGAAATATCCAAATTCATCCAACTTTGCACATGCCATCTTGGAAATTCGCTAATCCAATATCAAGATAATGTCTGGTTTGATCCAAACTTTGCAAATCATCATATTTTCCTAACTTATATAACCACCGTGCTATGTTTGTTAAAAAAAATGTTAAAATATGGTCGCCTAGTTTCGGTCTTCAAACAGTAATCACAGTTTCTTCTATAAAAAATATTTGATTTTTTAAATGTTTAAGTTTTTACGCTTTCGACCCGGTCAAATTTAAAATTGTTTTTGTTGTAAACTTAATTTTGCCTCATTTACAAAAATCGAAACATCATCATTCACAATTATCGAAACGTAAAAATACATTCTGTTAATGCGAATGTCATGCCATATCCTGGTATCCTTGTAATCGCTTGTTAAGTTTATTAATCAGAAGCTTTCAACAATCCATAAACGAATTATTAATCATTGCCATATTGAAATGTAAAAGTTACTACTATTTTAAGCCGATTACAGGAAACACACATTTGTTTTGTAGTTGGGTACTCACTACACACGACTCATGTCGAAGTGACCTTAAACGTGATTGTAATTGAATTTAAGCCTTCCAGCATTCGCCGCCTACCATTGATTTGCAACATTAAATGCTGAGTAGGAAATTTGTTTTTTTTTTCTGATATGTGCCTGCAGCATGTTGCAATAAGCCCACACATTTAGTTGAAATGATGTATTGATGAGCAGCACATGGGTAGGGGTGATAACTAATTGCAGCTGAAGACACGCATAGCGTTATGAGAAAATATTGGTGTGGAGCGAGATATTTTCGGTCGATGAAATATAGCATGGCCTACAATGAAGATTGTTAAGTTTTGTTGAAATCGGTTCAGATTTAGATATAGTTCTCCTATATGTTTTCGTTCGATTTGATTTAAATGCTAAGTGCGCCCCATCTTCGGACATAATCCAGGTTTTGAAAAAGTATTACGATGTACAATGTTTGGCTCAAATTTTCAAACTATTGGCACTCTGTGGGGAAGGTACTAGAAGAAGTGGACAAATAAGTTCCTTCTTCCAACATTATACAAGCATGGCTAAAATATTAGGTTGTTCGAACTTTAGTTCAAATCGACCCGAAATTGTTGGAAACTGATTTGGTACAAAGAAACATGGGGTCAAAACCCAATATTTCGATGAGGCACATTTTTGCCGTAGCAAAGTGTATAAATCATCATTAGCTGAGGGTATATAAATGTTGGTTCTGTCACAGAGGAAGCTCTCCTATATGAAGAAGAATTCCTGCAGCTTTTCCACAGGAAAAACCAGTGAGGAAAGTTACAATATACTGTATACTGGAAAGTTACAATATACAAGATACAATATACTGTAGATAGAACAGACATAGAATCTTTGGTGGACCATTGAGATGGAATCGGGCGAAATTAAATGTGTTATCTAGATACGTCAGTCTGGACCTAATTTCGTACTGAACAGAGAACCTATATCTGGGAGCTATATATAAATGTTAACCGATTTTAACAAAACTTTGCAGACATCAATCTGGATCTAATTCAGTACTCTGTGCAAAATTGTGTCTCAATCGGACCAATATTGTCAATATGGTGCTCAATTTAGATAAAATCGGACGAAGCTATATGGGAGCTATATCTAAATATGGACCGATTTCAAAAAAAATTGGCATATATCAATCTAGACCTAATTCCGTATTCGGTGTACAATTTTGTCCCAATCCGACAAATATTGGGAGTTTGGTGCATCATTCACATAAAATCGGACGAAACTATATATGGGGGCTATATCTATATCTGAACAGATTTTAACAAAATATCGCAGACATCAATCTGGACCTAATTTAGTACACTGTGCAAAATTTTGTTTCAATCGGACAAATATTGGGAGTTTGGTGCATCATTCGCAAAAAATCGGGCGAAACTATAAATGGGAGCTATATTTAAATCTGAACCGATTTTAACAAAACTACGCGGACATCAATCTGGACCTAAAACAGTACACTGCACAAAATTTTGTTTCAATTGGACAAATATTGGGAGTTTGGTGCACCATTCACAAAAAATCGGACGAAACTATAAATGGGAGCTATATCGAAATCTGAACCGATTTTCTCCAATTTCAATAGGGTTCTTCCAAATCGGATCATAGATGCGACCTGTACCTTGTTCACAAAAATACATTGACGGACGGACATGCATAAATCGACTCAACAAGTGATTCTATGCATATTCTCAAAAGGAGCCATTGGCCTATCTCGATTCCTTTTGCCTGTTACAAACATATGCACAAAGACATAATACCCTGTACCACAGTGTGGTGAAGGGGATAAAATACTTGCAGCTCTCCTACAAGAAAAAGAATACCTGCAGTTCTTCGACAGGAAAAATAATACCTAGAGCTCTTCAAGAGGAGGAAGAATGCCTGAAGCTCTTGTACAGCTCTGCCACAGGAAGAAAAATACTTGCAGCTTTCATATAGAAGAATAATAGTTGCAGCTCTTTTAGAGCAAGAAGAATACCTGATGAGCTTCCAACAGGAGCTCGTCATGTCAATTCGAAGTGGATGGTCTTATGTTGACCGATTTTTTTTATCTTATATTGAAGAATACGACCTGGAGAATCTGTGGTTTCCATAAGAAGGTGACACATGCCACACAGCTTTATTGCAAGAGACATTTCCTGACCGTGTAATTGTTCGTCGTGGCGAAATCAACCGACCACTAAGATCATGCGATTTGACACAATTGGACTTTTTATGGGGCTACTCGAAAATAGGTCGCTTCTCATTACAGAGGCGTGTTAATATTTAATTCCCTAATGAACTGTGCTTAAAATCAATTTCTGGATTTTCTTGTTAAGATATCGTAACAATAGATCAAAGTATCCTAACGAAGGATTTTCTTGTTAAGATATCGTAACAATAGATCAAAGTATCCTAACGAAGCATATTGTCTTAGTTATTAAGAAAATTTCCCCCCACAAACCCATTTTTGAAAAAAACCTTTTTTTTAAGAAACTTATAATTTTATTTAACAACAAAAAAATTTACAACATTTTAACAAAATATGTTCGAAATTCTTCACTGTGTTTTCGTTTTTATGCCAGCGGTGGAAAAACGAACGAACCAAGATGATAACAAATAGTCAACAATATAAGAGTATCCGCCATTGAATTCCAATGATTGAATAAATGGCGAATGTGAAAGGAAGACGAAAAGAGTGGGTGGGTGGTTGATGATGTTAACAACAAACAAGTAAGCTATAACTAATGTTTTGCGCGATTGAAGGAGAGAGAAATGGAATCACAGTATCGCAATCACGTCCAATTGTTACGCGGCACTACATTAGTATTTACGGTAGGGTCCTTGTTGTTGTTGGTGCTTGGCGGATGCTCCATATTGTTCTTGGTGTTCTTCCTCATGGTAGGGATGGGTGCGAATGTATTCCAATGACTTGAGGATGGCTTCTGGGATTGGTGGGGGAGTAGGCAAATGAGCACCTTGAGGTTGGAAGCCATTAGCGTCGGCAGTATAGGTTAATTGAATCAATTCTCCCTCGGGTGTATAGTATTGCGAAGAGCCGGTGGCATAGTGACCACCAACGCCCGATTCCTGTTGGGCAATGCCGTTCGTGGTATCGAATTGATAATTGTAGCTACCATCACCCTTGATTTCATTAACGTAGCTGCGCACCTCAGCCTGATAATCGGCAGCCATGGCAAGACCGCAAATGGCAACAGAGACAACGAACTGCAACGATACAGAAACAAAGCAAAGTAAATAAATTATAGCTAATTGAATATCCTTGATTGGTACGTTTTCGTCCTTGAACTTACAAATTTGAACATTTTTGTTAGGCTTGGATTGGTTGTAGAAGTGGATTTCCTAAAAGAAGTAGTTGTTAAATCTTAAAGATCTAATGTGAGTATAGTTGATCTGTGGCACAGCGGCGAATATTTATATGCGAAGAATTTAATTGCACTTCCCAAAATGCCCCCCACTAATTACAGTTTAAAGAAACTGAAAACGAAAACCAACAACAACAAATCCAAAATAATATTTTTTGACTTGGTTTTTTTTGAATTGACAACGTAATTGTAGACTCATAGCTGTTAGCTACCCTAGCCGTGGCAGGCAGTGGGATGGGATGAGGGAGGGCGAGAAAAAAAAACAATCTGTCGGTTTAACTTGACGAAGCTGTGTCGAAAAAGTTTAACAATTTATTTTTTTAAGATGAACCTGAAGACGATGTTGGTGTTGATGCAGATGATCGGATTTTACTTGGCGTTGATGATGATGTTGTTTTAGTTGTTGTTGCTACAACAGAGACGCTGTAGTGTGGGCCAACATAACCAAAATACCGTTGAATATTTTTAACAACCAATAATAATTATTATTTACACTAGAAACCTACAAAACGACAGCAGTTATTACAAAATTATCATATTTCATTTAAATTCAAATATACGAGGTTTGTATGGAAGTTGTGTAAATTGAGTAGGGAGGACCCCATAGGTTTCGATATAAGATATAGGATGTTTATATAATACATTGTTCAAATGTTGATCATTTTTGGGTAGTTATACCAGATGGAGTGGAAGTCCACTATCGAACTTCCTTTTAGTAATTTTTTAGGGACCTACATAAGCCAAGTAATTTTTAAAGATTATTTTTTTCAGCGGCCTACACTGTCGTGGACTTTTTAAATAATATTTTTTCAGGCGTGGATTTTTTAAAGCATATTTTTCAGGGGCCTACCGTAGGCGAGGATTTTTTTTATTATTTTGCTTGGGACCTACACGATGCTGGATTTTTTAAAGCTTTTTAAAAAAAAATATTTTTTCAGGGACCTAAACAGTGACCTACGCAGGGCGTGGATTTTTATTGAATACTTTGTTCAGGGACCTACACCAGGCGTGGATTTTTTAAAGAATACATTTTTCAGGGATCTACACAAGGCGTGGATTTTATAAATAATGTTTCTTTAGGGACCTACACAGTGGATTTTTTAAAGAATATTTTTTAGGGACCTACACTAGGCGTTAATTTTTTAAAGAATATTTTTCAGGGACCTACACTAGGCGTTCATTTTTTAAAGAATATGGTACAGGGACCTACACTAGGCGTGGATTTTTTGAAGAATGTTGATCAGAGACCTATGTTAGGCGCTGATTTTAAAGAATATTTTCCGAGATCTCAACAAGTCGTGGATTTTTAAGGAATATATTTTCTGGAACCTGCGCTAGGAGTGGATTTTTTTAAAGAATACTTTTCAGGACCTCACTAGGCGTGGATTTTCTTAAAGAATAATTTTCAGGACCTCACTAGAAGTGGATTTTTTAAAGAATATTTTTCAGGGTCCTACACAAGGCGTGGATTTTTTAAGTCATATTTTTTCAGGGACCGTGGATTATTTAAAGCATATTTTTTCAGGGACAGTATATTTTTTAAAGAATATGTTTTCAAGGACCTACACAAAGCGTGGATTTTTTAAATAATATTTTTTTCTGGGACCGTGGATTTTTTTAAAGAATAAATTTTTCCACGGGGCGTGGATTTTTTTAAAGAAAACTTTGCATGACCTCACTAGGCTTGAATTTTTTTAAAGAATAATTTTCAGAACCTTACTGAGCATGGGTTTTTTAAAAAATAATTTTCAGGACCTCACTGGCGTGGATTTTTAAAGAATATTTTTCAGGACCTCACTGGCGTGGATTTTTTAAATAATATTTTTCAGGACCTCACTGGCGTGGATTTTTTAAATAATATTTTTCAGGAGCCTAAATATTTTATTTGGGACCTACACAATGCTGGATTTTTTTAAGACTTTAAAAAAACATTTTTTCAAGATTTTTAAAGAATACTTTGTTCGGGGACCTACACCAGGCGTGGATTTTTTAAAAAATACTTTTTTCAGGGACCTACACAAGGCGTGGATTTTATAAAGAATGTTTCCTTAGGGACCTACACTAGGCGTTCATTTTTTAAAGAATACGGTACAGGGACCTACAAAAGGCGTTCATTTTTTAAAGGATACGGTACAGGGACTACAAAAGGCGTTAATTTTGTAAAGAACAGGGATTTTTTTTAAATCATATTTTTTCACAAGGCGTGGATTTTTTAAATCATATTTTTTCAGGGACAGTGGATTTTATAAAGGCTATTTTTTCAGGGACCTACACAAGGCGTGGATTTTTTAAATCATATTTTTTCAGGGACCGTGGATTATTTAAAGCCTATTTTTTCAGGGACAGTATATTTTTTTAAAGAATATGTTTTCAAGGACCTATACAAAGCGTGGATTTTTTAAATAATATTTTTTTCTGGGACCGTGGATTTTTTAAAAAATATTTTTTTCCACTGGGCGTGGATTTTTTAAAGAATAATTTTCAGAACCTTACTGGACATGGGTTTTTTAAAGAATAATTTTCAGGACCACACTGGCATGGATTTTTTAAAGAATATTTTTCAGGACCTTACTGGCGTGGATTTTTTAAAGAATATTTTTTTCAGGGGCACAAAGAAGGCTGTATTTTTTATACTCTCAGCCTTATGGCTAATGAGGATATATATACTTTGATGCGGGAAAAATGTGCCTCATCGAAATATTGGGTTTTACCCCATATTTCTTTGGACCAAATTCCTTTCAGATAATTTGGACTCGATTTACAAATGTCCGTTCGTCTGTCTGGCCGGCTGATGGGCACGATAACTCTCGAGGGGAATAATCGATTTCCTTAAAACTTTGCATATCTTAACATTTCTTCCAAACTTAGTTCAAGTTCGAAGATGGGAAATAAAGGTCCACTACTTCTGGTAACTCCCCACAAAATGTCAAAATTGTTTATAAAAATTATTTTTTTTTTTATAATAAGGCGGTATATCCGATTTAAACCAAACATTGTATAACCTATTATCTTACCAATCCTAGATGAAGTTCGAAGATGGGACATATTGGTCCACTCCTTCTGGTACCTCCCCCAGAAATTGTCAAAAATGTCAGTATTTATAAATCCAATATTAGGCGGAAGGAATGTCCGAATTGAACCGAAATTTGGACAACCTAATATCTCCACCAAGCCTTTATCAATTCCAAAGATGAGACACATTGGTCCACTCAATATTTATAAATCCAATATTAGGCGAAAGGAATGTCCGATTTGAACCAAAATTTGCACAACCTATTATATCTGGCAATCCTAGTTGAAGTCCGAAGGTGGGACCCATTGGCCAATTCTTACTTGTACCTCCCCCACAAAGGGTACAAATTTTCTATATTTATAAATCCAATATAAGGCGAATAGAATGTCCGATTTTAACCAAACTTTGCACCACCTATTATCTCTACCACGTCTAGATTAAGTCATACCCCACAAATGGTCAATATTTTTATACGAATGAAATTGAAGCATATGAATAACCGATTGGATCAACATTATATAAAGCGAATAGTAAAACATGTGTGTAATTCCCAAGACATCCGCAAACCATTTGCTGAGAGTATATATCTGTCGGTAACACCGACTGAGACTTTTTTACTTGTTTAATTATTCATCAGAGACCCCATACTCATACAAATGACACATTATTCCCATTAGGTTCGAATTTTCGTCACTGTCACCTTATTTTTAGAGTTATAACTCTACTTTTTTTGATAATTTCAAAACACATATATAAGACGACGATATTAGGTTTATTTCAGATTTCTTTCTATTGACAATTAATTATTTCTTACCCCAACAACTTTTTATTCATTTCTCATCTCATTTCCATACCACCCTCCTATAACATACATTGCAACGTATAATCCCAGCTTAAACTTTAAACAACTCAACACGAATTTAGCGAAAAGATCCATAAAATTATTGGAAACATTTATTTTAGTTTTTTTTTCTAATTTCATATCTGCTTCCTTCCTTTCAGTGATATTTCTTCGGTATTACCTCAATGATTCGCATACACAGTTTATTTTTCTTTTTCTTTTTGCACAAACAAAAATATGTTAAAAGTAAAACCAAATCGAAATCGATTAGAGATTTTTGTTACGATTAGTTTACCCTTTTTCAAAAATTTAACACCATCACCATCATCATCATCATCGAGATCAGCATGATTTGTTATTATAATTGGTGGGTGCAAATGATGGCAAAAGCATAACTATTTCTTTTTTTCATTTGAAAATATTTTTGGATAAATTATCAGCAACATCGTTAAAATTCATTCATTTGTACTTCAGTGTCAGAGTCATTTTGGTAGGGTTTCTTTTTCGTTTTGTTGGCATAGATTTTTAATTTTGTTTGGTGATTCATGAATTTGTTGAAAGTTCATTACTATTTTTAGATTATAGACAGTGGCGTAGTTCAGTTAATATGCAATCTAAGAAGTTTTGATTTTTTTTGTCAGATTGTACATTTAATATCACCATAATATGACATTTAAAATAAATAAGAAGATCTTGAGCGATTGCATTTATTCTAGTTCTTACGATAGCTATATGCGTACAGAATATCGTTTTAAAATATGGAATGGATTGGGTTATTAGTAGCTTGATGCTGATACAATAAAGGGATATTCTTGAATTAGTTTGGGTTTGAATTAAATAGAAACCAAAAATCAGTTTTTTTGAAACCCCAAAAAGAGGGTGTGGGAATCCGTAGGCTTCCGGACATCATAGACGATGTGTATATATCTGTCCGCAATACCGACTGAACATCTTCTGAAATTTTGGCCAGACAATGGTATTAATCCAAAGGCGTGTGGCATTGAATTTTTTTTATAAGAATAATATTGTTTTGGTATTTTTTTTATTCAAATAAAATTTTTTCACAAACTGACAAAAATGAAAAAAATTACAATGTCAATTATTTCTTTCTATTTGTATTTCAATACACATACATATGTATGTATG